CACTCACTCACTCACTCACTCACTCACTCACTCACTCACTCACTCACTCACTCACTCGCCCCCTCACACTCACTAGCTCACTAGCTCACTCACTAGCTCTCTAGCTCACTAGCTCACTCACTAGCTCACTAGCTCACTAGCTCACTACCTCACTACCTCACTAGCTCACTACCTCACTCACTCACTCACTCACTCACTCACTATCTCACATTACAATTCAATTGAAATTTCGTTCCTCATAACTTTTTTATAGAAAACAAAATTTTATTGTTAGGTTCAGACATTCAGGGTTACCCACAAAGAATGAGACTTCATGAGACTACTGCAGAGAAGTTATATTTATTATTCTCTGCAACATCTTTCTTTCTTTGCCTAATAGATATATAGGCTATTAAAAGATTGTATTCAAGGCAGAAGATTTAATTTAACCTTGGAATCGTGATTTAGAGTTTCATGTTGTCTTGACAGTCTCATCCTTTGTGGATAACCCTGTATGTGAGAAACATAATAGAAACAACGAAAAATCACTCATTAAGCAACTCATCTCATTTCTCAACCTCATCAACCAGTCTCTTTATCTTAGCTTAAATAGTCATCACATTTAAAAGACGACATTTAAAGAAGTTGTTTGAAATTGTAAAAAAAGAGGTAGTTTAATTTAGATTTTAGCAGGTAAACTAAGTCAATTTTCGTATTGTGGGAGCTGAGACAAATTGTTCAGGTTAGTCTGAAGAATAAGAAAATATTATAAAAATCCCAATATTTACTGTCGACTACTTAGGCGTTACAGATTTTGTAAAAAAACGTTTTTTTTGCAATTTTTCTTAACACATTGCACATTTTCACACAAGGGTTCCCATCAAAACAAAAGTTTATTTTTTGGTGCGTTATTTTTAAAATTGACATTGCTCTAAAAATAAGCCATTTTTTGTGAAAGTCAGAATTTAGATTTATAAAAAAAAGTTTTACAGTTTACATTAAGAGAAATTATCCTCATTACATATTAACACTGAAATATTAAGATCTAAATATATATGTATGGAGTGACGCGGCTGGATTTTTAAAAATCACACTTTAAAGGCCCTAAATATGCCATATAAAAAGTAGTTTTGCCCGGAAGAGTCAATTGTGGTGGTACGGAAGGGGAAATAGTGGTGGCTCATGGCCGCCTGCCTTCCCCCGCTCGTTACATTCGCTACACCGGTTTCAAAGATGCTGCGAAAAATTCCAGAAATCTCAAATAGGTTGTCAAGTACAATAGACGGTAACACAGAATGCGTACACTTTTCAGTACAGCTGTTTAAACGTCATAAGTGTCAACTCAAATTTTCTGTCTGACAAAACTATAAATAAAAGTGATATTTTTAGACTAAGGTGTTTATCTTTTAGNAAATTTGAGCACTTTTTCGAAACTTCCAGAAATCTCCCCTGCAAGGAAATTTCTCTTATCCTCTGCAATCCCATCAATAACTGTAAAAGAACACACATCTCCAATATCAACCTTTTTGTAAAATTCCAAAGAATAAGGCACCTAAATGTTTTAGTAAACAAACAAGGTCATCACATGATACGAAATTTAAAACATAAAGGCCAATTTATGTTTTAATAAATAGTTAAAAATATTTTTGTTTTTTTTATTATTGTTTTTTGTTGTTGTTGTGTATGATGATATAATGTGTACAGTATACTTCAGTCATTGTTTAACCCACCAAACTTCGTCACTTTTAAAACAAGGTAATCCAAATGGTTATTGGAAAATTCGTATAAATTATGAGTGTTTCAAAAAATTAGAAGTCTAAATTTTTTTTTAATTATCTGGCTTTAGAGATTGAACAGTAAACCTTTAATAACCCTAGAAATATTTACTTTAATGTTACTTACGTATCCCTACAAAGACGACATTTATCTTCACCAAATCTTAGAAATTATACCAACTAATTAGAGGACATGTCGTCTTTCTTTTTTCATTTGACACATATGACGTGTGCAGTTGGTCGATTTTTCTGTTGCCATCTATTGTACTTGACAACCTATTTGAGAAATCTGAATTCGATCAACTGGCAACCCGGTGTAGCGTTACATCCAGACTGGAGGCCGTTCCTTCGACATAAACTACATTGGTCGACAACTTGACGTCGATCCTATATTGGTCGTGAAATGTACGGAGAAATAGTGTTTTGTTCAAACGCATTCTTCAATGAGTTATCAGTGTCCGAGTATTGTCCGACCATAAACACATACATATGCGTCCCCTATCGACGGAAAAAAGTGAAAGCTCATTACGAATTTGATTTGAACGCTGCAAACTATCTTAAACATAGGAAACTGTTTTTAGATTTAATTTCAAATTCATGCTTAAAAACAAGACGTACTGCAATCAATTTATGAAATGAAATCAGAAAGCTACTTTGATTAGTGCTGCCACCTTTTCTCAAATAAATCATGGCCACAGTACGGCTAATGATCCAGATACCGTATGGCGTGAGAAACTCTGTCCGTGATGAATAACTCACGGTAGACATCTAGCGGCCAAATTATCGTCCTCCAAAGTACGTGAACTACACGTCCACTATCTATAGAAGGACCGGCCTCGGGGTATTGGCTGTATTAGTATTAGTAAACAAACACATTTACGGTCAATTTCTTATTCATGTTAC